ACATGTCCGGTTTTTCCGAAAAAACAGGCGACCATTTGCTTCGAAGTGTTTCGTGCGCGAACAACTTTTGTTGGATTTGGCTCATCTTGAAAGACCCATACAGTCGACTGCTGTTTACTTTCGGGCTCATGCGCATAGATCCATGATTCGTCACCTGTTACAATATCACAGACGTGTCTTGAAGCACGCAATCATATTTCTTGAGCATTTCTTTCGACCAATCGACACGAGCCTTTTTTTGAGAGATGATGTTAAATTATGTGGGATCCATCGCGAACCAATTTTTTTGACAGCCAAATGTTCATGTAATATTGAATGTATGCTGGTCCTACTAATGCCCAAGGATGCCTCAATCTCACGATAAGTCACATGACGATCTTGCAATATCAGTTCACGCACAGCATCAATGTTTTCTGGAACAACAACCGATTTTGGACAACCTTCACGAAATTCATCACTAAGCGAACTACGGCCACGGATTGAATTCCATATACCATCGATATATAATGGTTTTTGATGGTGCTTCATCGCCAAAAGTCGAATTAAGTTCATCGATGCACTGTTGTTGAGATAATCCACGTCGAAAGTTATAAAAAATAATCGCACGGAAATGTTCACGACTTAATTCCACTTCTTGGCCGACATCAATTTTTCATGTCACTATAAACAACACAAATGGCGCATGGACATCAAAACGTTCTGAGTAAGTATACTGACAAAAAGTCGAACTTTACGTTAAGGACGTCGGTTGTCAGATGGCAGCACCTGGATTGTCTATTCCCGAAATATAAAAGGCAACCCTCGTACACAAGACCGGTATACTCACACAATTGGGAATTATTCAGAATGTTTGATTGAGAACATGATGAATTAGAGATTCGCGTTCATGGACCGTTATCCGTCTCTGTCTGGATCAATATCTATTGTATACAACAACGCAATAAATAGATAGACAGACAGAGATTGACGAGAGTAATTGCAGATTCATAAAGTCATGATTACTAGTCGGATGATGACGGATCGTGAATGCCGAGCACGAAATTCCGACTTCTTATTCCCGGAAAATTCGTCAAACGTCCGGTCCTGTTATCGGAGACCTCCCCGCATAATAAATGATTCCACATACCTGGAAACGTGACGAATCGTTGCCGGCGTCCTGCTTCCCGGCTGCTGGAGTTCTTCGGATTTCACTCGCTCACGCTTTTAATGCCGATACTCGCGATTCGACCGTGCGGTTAATCAACGCGATGCCGATTGAGTATCTCTTTTGACCGATGAGATACATTTCTTTCAATTATACGAGACGGAAGTGACGATCGCGTCGCGCACCGCTACTGCTGATGGAATGAGATCGAGTACGCGAGGTGCGCGACTGTTAATACGAAGGGCAAAAAGTGTCGTCGCTCGCGAGCCGATCAACACAATCGGCGCGATGTAAACATTGCGGGCCTCGACGGCGGTTGAAGCAAGAGAGACTTGCCCTTGGACGTCTCTTCTTTTTTCGAAGGTTCCGGAACGACGAGGGGAATGCGAGGGGCCTTTCAACTGTACGCGACATTGATTTACTATTTATTGATTACTGAAAATAAAGAAAATTACTCTGTTGAAGTATCGGACATTTGTTAGCTTTATGGGAATTAAAGAGGAATGTGTACGATTAGAAAATGTGTTAGCAACTAATTGTACAGAGTGTCAAAGTTGTTGTGACACTGTTTTCGGAGAATAATTAAAGGTCAATAAATAGCGTTAAAGAGTGGAATTTCATCCCATGCGAATTTTGTCTCGTATTCTTCTTATTAAATGTTATCCTATTTAATATTATCCGCTGCGGACAATAACTCTTGTACTTTTCATCTAATATTCAATGACTATAAATAACATTTAATTGCATTCGTTTGGTTTTTCTTATTTCGAAAATAAAAAAATATATACCAGGGTGAGATTCCACCCATGACAACATCAACGTGATTTTCTTTGATGTTTCTTTTAAAAGTTCAGATATTTCGTCGACTCGCGGGATATTTATAATCGAATTCTCGTCGCGTTAATTAACACGTGCTCCTTCGAACGGATCGAATGCTAGCTCACTGACACGGCCACTGTCAGTGCCACGAGCGAATGCCCGGAGCGGACGAGATGCTGAATGCGTGAAGCAGGACGAAGGGAACGGGACGCGGGCAACGATACATCATGCGTCTCCAGACGTGTCAAATCGTATATTATACAGAAGACTTTGATACGGCAACATGTATTCGAAGATTTAATATTTAATACTTAATACTTAATATTTAACACTTTTATTTTTCCTGCTCCTCCCCCCCCCCCCCCCGCTCTTTTGAGACCTACGGGCATAGTCTGGCATAGAGATGGCAACTGTGGTTGCAGCTCGGATGTAAACCACCTGAAAGTGGATGTAGCACGGACTTCCACTACATGCAGATTTTACCACTGCGTCCCGAAAGTGGATCATAGCATTGTAGTTCCCCTCTCAAAATGGATGCAGATGGCGTCCTTTCCCAGTGCGGAAAGTCGGTGTCGCAGAAAATGCCGTGCTGCCGCTCTCAGGGGCTGTATTCCGTGTATAATCTGCATATCGACAGTTGTCGGTGTCGCGTTAGCGGCATTGCGCAGATTTTTCATATAACAAAAAAGCTGCGCAATATTGCTAACGACACCGACAACTATCGGTACGCGAGTACGGAATACAGCCCCAGTACCGCGATTCTGTAACTCGTTATTGGAGTTAACGACATTTTATTTTGTAAAAAAAAAAAAAAAAAAAAAAAAAAACAAGCGATTCTGTAACTCGTTATTGGAGTTAACGACAGTTTCGTTATTGTTGCGCAGCTTTTCTACGGTATACGAAAGCTGTGCAACGATAACGAAAGTGTCGTTAACTCCAATAACGAGTTACAGAATCGCGGTATAGTACCGCAATTCTGTAACTCGTTATTGGAGTTAACGACACTTTCGTTATCGTTGCGTAGCTTTTCTACAGTATACAAAAGCTGCGCAACGATAACGAAAGTGTCGTTAACTCCAATAACGAGTTAAAGAATCGCGCCGCTGGTTTCTCTCTACTTACAACACATAGGGTCTGTTCTTTATAGCTATCTGCACTGCTGAACTAGTGCAATAAGTTTGAGTGAGAAAAAATATAGTTGTCTCATTTTAACTTACTGCACCAGTTCAGCAGTGCAGCTATAAAGAACAGACCCATATTGTAGACCTAAGTCAGGCCTAAGACCTGACTATGAATACCGGCCCTAATCTTCATGAAGAGTCAAACACGTAGTAGTACGCTCAACGACAAGTCAGACATCCTTCATTTTCAAGCTCAACTACACGTACATCACAGCAGGGGGTACAAACTCCCCTCTTAGAAACCGAGGATCTTTGGAGTGCCACCATGATACGTACCGGAACTGGTGGAACTAAAATGGGTCACGTGATACAGAGTGGGGATACGCGCTACATTTAAATCCAGTACACATATATATAAATATAAGGCCTGTTCTTTTTCGCTGCACTGCTGCACTGATGCAATAAGTTAGACTGAAACAAATATATATTTCTCATTCTAACTTATTGCATCAGTGCAGCAGTGCAGCGAAAAAGAACAGGCCTTACATATAAATATATATATATATATATATATATATATTAAGCGTGTAATAACCCATATAGCACAAAAATTAAAAGGATGTTTTAAGAACGTTCTAAGGACATTCATACATCCTAAGAACGTTCTAAGAACATTCTCTGAAGATTTGGTGCTATCTGGGAAGTAATTTTGTATTTTTTTGGTAAAATTAAACAATACTTGTATGTTGTTATAATTTCATGAAGCAATGTATGCGAGAGATGGTAGGTGATATTGGGTTGTTCAAAAAGTCATTGCAGTTTTTTCAGTGATTTTCAAAACTTAATTTTATACAAAGAATTAACATGAATCATTGATGTTAATGAACGCAAGCACTTTGTGAGGAACCCAATAGTTCAATATATCACATATATTATTTCATGAAATTATAATGATATAAACATACAATTATTCCATTGTATCTGAAAACAAAGAAATTAATTATTATTCAACTCAATATATATATTTTTTTTGTGATGTGTGTATGTGTATATAATAGGGTTCGCAAATTTTATTGAGAGCAGTATACAATTTTCGTTTTATAAACATATTATACATATATTTTTTTTAGTTACAATGATATATATATATATATATGTAGTTTAATGAAATTATTTACAGTTCAATGAAAAATAATTACAATGAATTTTATGCATCAAATTTTTTCCGTCCCACTTGCAGACTGCGGACTGTCAGATACTTTTCTGCCATATACCTGGTGTGGTTAAAAAAATTTGATGCACTAACAACCTGCACCATATATGTGCATCACTGCACATAAGCATTCATACACTTATTCTTAACATCGATCTACAATAAGATACGTCTAAAAGCGTATAAAAGAGAGACGTCTTGCTTTTAATATGTCTTTTAATATAAGTCAAATGTGTTTAAAACATTTGTGCTATCTGAGACTTTAGGAAAGATCAACGAACAACGTGAAATAATTTAAACCGATTTACATATTTACATATAAATATTTACTTACAGAAATATAAATATTTTATCTCCACACGCTCTCTCTCCTTACTTGGCTCTTCTTCCTGTAAATAACTTATAAATAACCTGTAAATAACCTGTAAATAACCTGTAAATAACCTGCAAATAACCTGAAAATAAACACCTTTCACTAAATTAATGATCACTTGCTATCACTTGCTATCGCACAAAATGCACAAAATTCCTACTACTCCAGAAAACTGGTAAACAGTAAAGCCCTAAACACAGTGTCAGGCAACAGGCAGTAAGAATAAAAATAGACCAATCACAATAGATTATTTTTGTAATAGTCGATTGTGATTGCTCTATTTTTATTCTTACTGCCTGTTGCCTGGCATTGTGTTTAGGGCTTAAGTGTCCAATATGGCATCCGACGAACGGTAGTGGGGGACCGACTGTGCTGCCCTCGGCTTACGTACCGAAAGAATAAGCGAACTAATCACTTCCGTCACCACTAAAATACGAGGAGTTTGTACCCCCTGCACCACAGTGTAGTAAGTTGAGCTAGAGAGTATATGTGTGTAATGCTTATCGGTTTTCCTAAGTGTAAAAATAAACTTGCCAGGATAATAAGCGTTGGAATACACCAGCTACGAGGAGAATGCCTGCACAAGAAGTAACGGTGTCGCAACTGCCAGCGACTGATGGCGAAGAAAACATTCCCTCGTCTCAACCGATCGTGGGCATTATATATCCGCCTCCGGAGGTTAGGAGTATCCTTTGCTGAAAGCGAATTTCACGTCTGCGAATTGTGCTAAGGAAAACGTATTTGACGTTTTATATTTGTACATATTTTTACCGCAGGTCTGAAGAAAATGTAATATGAGAAATACTACACATCGGAATTATTATGTATGATACATTTAAAATATCACTTAGACCTGTTGGTTCTACATGAAAAGTCCATCGCATTTATATGATGTTAAAGTTTTGCAATTAATATTTCTTTGTAATTTAGAATAAATATGTCTTTTCACTTATACGGTCGATTAAGGTTTGATTTATGTTTGTTTCATGTTTAGAAAGAGTAAGGTTATCAGTGATTTATATATCAATCTCTTCTGCATTATTTGTTGGGTAATTGATAAATATTTGCATTGTTCTTTCTTATATGGAGATTTAGATATCGTTGACAAAACTGCTAGTTTTGTGGCTAGAAATGGACCAGAGTTTGAGTCCAGGATCAGGCAGAATGAATTGGGCAATCCCAAGTTTAATTTCTTAAACTTTGGCGATCCCTATCATGCCTACTACGAGCATAAAGTGAAGGAGTCCAAGGAAGGTAAAAATCAGGAGCCTACAACAGGATCAGGTCCTGGGAAAACTGTAAATCTTATCGCACATCAGAAGCAGCAAGAAATCTTGAAGCAAGTCGAGCAGCCGTTTATACCCAAGGATCCACCTGCCGAGTTTGAGTTTATAGCAGATCCTCCTTCAATATCAGCCCTAGATTTGTACGTGATTCATGTATAAGATTGTGAATTGTATGTAAAATTAGTAGTAGTATTTTTCATATTGAATTAAATTAAATCGTACTCTGTTTTTTTAGGGATATTGTGAAGTTAACTGCTCAGTTTGTAGCACGTAATGGAAGGCAATTCTTGACCAATCTGATGAATCGTGAACAGAGGAATTTCCAGTTTGATTTCTTACGTCCACAACATTCTTTGTTTCAGTATTTTACTAAATTATTAGAGCAATACACTAAGGTACGCAAAGAATTTCCTTCTTTTTAAGAGAAAGATAGATAAGAGTAAATTAATATAAAGTTTTATGTCAATTTTACAATTTGGCTTTCACGGATCTATTATTTCGATCAGTGAAAGATGTATTATTTGTAAAGCGAAAAAATGTTAATGTTATATCTTAGGTATTGATTCCACCTAAAGATTTATTGCCACGTTTGCGAGATGAATCATTCAATATGGATAAGATCCTGGAGCAAGTGAAATATCGCGCTGAGTATTTAAAGTATCAAGAGGCACAAAGGCGTAAGGAGGAGGAGGAACTGGAGAGAGAAAGAGTCGCTTATGCGCAAATCGACTGGCATGATTTTGTCGTTGTCGAAACTGTAGATTATCAACAATTCGAAGTTGGTAATTTTCCAGCTCCAACAACACCGGATGAAGTCGGCGCTCGAGTTCTCATGCAGGTATGATGCACCGATTGACTTAGCGTCACTGCAAGTTCATCTTGTCGATTAAAATATCGGTAAAATGTCGGCAAAATGGCGAATGGCTTGTTACGAACATTTCATTTGTAATTTATAGGAGCGTATAGAGGACGGCGAGGACGTGGAGATGCAAATCGATAGCGATGGAGAGGAGGAAATGCAGATGCGTACAGATGGCGAGAAGGATCGTGCGAAAGATAACAATCAGGTAAGAATAGCTCGTATTACTGCTATATATGGCATACAAAACAACACTGTTTCATCGTTGTCAATGAATATCATAGGTACAAGATATGGAGGAAGATTCCAGTGATGAGGACGACGTGTCGCCACCGGGTGACATTCACAAGTCTAAAGAATCGAAGCCGCGCGATACCAACATGCAACCTCCTCCGTTGCCACCCACTCCAGGAAATGTGGTGGTCAAGAAAGGATACGATCCGAAACAACATGGCAAGTATTCCATACGATGTACATTCTTAGTGGTCAACATATCGTTTAATAACGAATAACATCGTGTTTTACATTCGACATTTTTACAGCGGTCAAGGCTACTCGTCCCGCCGCTCCGGATGAGTACCTGATCTCGCCGATTACCGGCGAGCGTATACCTGCTAGCAAGGTGCAGGAGCATATGCGTATCGGATTGCTGGATCCGCGCTGGGTCGAGCAGCGAGACAAGCATCTGGATAAATTGGCGCAAGAGACTGTGTTTGCGCCTGGCACAGCGATCGAGGCTAGTCTGAAGCAGCTCGCTGAGAGACGTACCGACATATTTGGTGTCGGTGACGAGGAGACTGCGATTGGCAAGAAAATTGGGGAGGAGGATAAGAAGAAGGACGACAAAGTTACATGGGACGGTCACACTTCAAGTGTAGAAGCCGCCACTAGGGCTGCGCGCGCCAACATCACTCTTGAGGAACAGATTCATCAGATACACAAGGTGAAGGGTCTGTTGCCGGACGAAGAGAAGGAGAAGATCGGCCCGAAACCTGTGAACCGTGCGACCGAGCTTTCTCATATGGCAGCCGCTGCTTCGAAGCCGCAGGCTACGTTGAAGGCGCCACCGAAGCCTCCAGCACCGAAGCCTATACCGGTTCCTGCTCAGCCACCTCCACCGCCGACCATGAGCATGCCCACTATGGGTATACCCCAGCCGATGATGCCGCAAGCGCCAATGATGATGATGGCACCCATGCCACCGATGGCGCCTAGGCCGCCGCCTTTGATGAGTACGTATAAAGAGGAGAAAGAAGAAAAAAATCGTTTTTTACTTTTGTGTTTCAACGTAAAGCTAACATGAAGTGTATGATGTGTCGCAGCACCGGCGATGTCACCATTCATGCCGACGCCACCGCCGATACAACCACCAATGGGACCTGCTGTAAGTAGTCGGTTATTAAATATAGTAGCAGTGTTTGTTGGTATTGTTATAAGTTGTGTATAGGATCGATATTATCATGTTATTTTTTTTCGTTGAAAGCTTGGGTTGAAACATGCTGCTAAACCGATGGAAGAAGAGCCACAAACCAAGAAACTAAGGACGGAGGATTCGTTGATTCCAGAACAACAATTTCTTGCTAGAAATAAGGTAAAGAGTGAACTGTTGTTGGCGTTCTTGCCAAAGAGTATGAAACCTAAGGAAATTTGTGAACGAAGAAATTTCACAACGTTTTCTCATCGTAGGGTCCTATACAAATCAATATTGCGGTGCCTATGATGACGGAGAAGGCTGAATGGAAATTAAATGGACAAACGTTGAATATTAACTTGCAAGTGAGCGACACTGTGTCAACCATGAAAGCGCTGATTCATGAGCAAACTGGCATGCCGCCTGGCAAGCAGAAGCTGCAGTACGAGGTGATGACTTGATATATCATTGATAATTGCCTTAAAAAAAAGTGTTATTGTTCAATTAGGATAAGTGCAAAATTGTAATGTATGATTTCCGTTTTTAGGGAATGTTTTTCAAGGATAACAATACTCTGGCATATTATAACCTAACTTCGGGCAATGTCATCAATTTGTTACCAAAAGAAAGGGGTGGTAGGAAGAAGTAAGATAAAAACAATATATAACGTATTAAATATTGCAAAAGATGTACTACTATAATAAATAATGAAAATGAGAGAGAGAGAGAGAGAGAGAGAGAGAGAGGATAGGTGGATGGAGACTTGGTGATACCTTACCGTTATTATATTCTAATTATAATCGTACCATTTTAAAGAGTATAGCTATATATGTATAAGGGGAATAAAATATTTCATGTATATTTCATTATATTATATAACAATATACATGGCATTTATTACAAAGTATCGTGTATTTATATAATGATAATATGGTACAGCAACATAAGTTATAAGTACCATCGAAAGTTAAATTTTTAAATTGTATTGTCAATATCTCTGTTTCTACAGCGAATTGAGAGTCGAGCTTTATACCTAGAATAGGGTTGATACAGTACTATATTATGGCAAAAGTGCGTTCCTGTATATTGAGCCGTTTAGGAGATATAGAAGGTTAAAATTTTTAACATTTTAATGTTCATATCTCCGATTCTACTGGGAATAGAGAGTCGAGCTTTATGGTGAGAAAAAGGTTGATATAGGACTATATTGTGGCAAAAGCGCGTTCCTGTATATTGATCCGTTTAGGAGATAACGAAGGTTAAACTTTTCCAGCATTTCTCCGTCGATATCCAGCCTTCCTCCGTCGAAATCTCCGCTTCTACTGGGAGTAGAGTCGTCCATGTAGTCGAAAATGTAGGGTTTTGAGAGGACTTTAATTTGGTGCCAGAACCAGGCCTGTATCTCTAACCGTTTAGCAGATATCGAAGGTTAAAGTTTTCCAGCCTTTCTCCGTCGATATCCAGCCTTCCTCCGTCGATATCTCCGCTTCTAGTTGGGAGTAGAGAGTCGTCCATGTAGTCGAAAATGTAGAGTTTTGAGAGGACTTTAATTCGGTGCCAGAACCAGGCCTGTATCTCTGACCGTTTAGGAGATATCGAAGGTTAAAGTTTTCCAACCTTTCTCCGTTGATATCTCCGCTTCTGCTGGGAATAGAGAGTCGCCATTTACGGCAAAATGTAGGGTTTTGAGAGGACTTCAATTTGGTGCCAGAACCAGGCCTGTATCTCTAACCGTTCAGGAGATATCGAAGGTTAAAGTTTTCCAGCCTTTCTCCGTCGACATCCAGCCTTCCTCCGTCGATATCTTCGCTTCTACTGGGAGTAGAGAGTCGTCATTGTAGTCGAAAATGTAGGGTTTTGAGAGGGCTTTAATTTGGCGATAAAACCAGGGCTGTATCTCTAACCGTTTAGGAGATATCGAAGATTAAAGTTTTCCAACCTTTCTCCGTTGATATCTCCGCTTCTACTGGGAGTAGAGAGTCGTCCATGTAGTCGAAAATGTAGGGTTTTGAAAGGACTTTAATTTGGTGCCAGAACCAGGCCTGTATCTCTAACCGTTTAGGAGATATCGAAGGTTAAAGTTTTCCAACCTTTCTGCGTTGATATCTCCGCTTCTACTGGGAGTAGAGAGTCGCCACTTACGGCAAAATGTAGGGTTTCGAGAGGACTTTAATTTGGTGCCAGAACCAGGCCTGTATCTCTAACCGTTTAGGAGATATCGAAGTTTAAAGTTTTCCAGCCTTTCTCCGTCGATATCCAGCCTTCCTCCGTCGATATCTCCGCTTCTGCTGGGAGCAGAGAGTCGTCCATGTAGTCGAAAATGTAGGGTTTTGACATGTAGGGTTTTGAAAGGACTTTAATTTGGTGCCAGAACCAGGCCTGTATCTCTAACCGTTTAGGAGATATCGAAGTTTAAAGTTTTCCTGCCTTTCTCCGTTGATATCCAGCCTTCCTCCGTCGATACCTCCGCTACTGCTGGGAGTAGAGAGTCGTCCATGTAGTCGAAAATGTAGGGTTTTGAAATGTAGGGTTTTGAAAGGACTTTAATTTGGTGCCAGAACCAGGCCTGTATCTCTAACCGTTTAGGAGATATCGAAGATTAAAGTTTTCCAACCTTTCTGCGTTGATATCTCTGCTTCTACTGGGAGTAGAGAGTCGCAACTTACGGCAAAATGTAGGGTTTTGAGAGGACTTTAATTTGGTGCCAGAACCAGGCCTGTATCTCTAACCGTTTAGGAGATATCGAAGTTTAAAGTTTTCCAGCCTTTCTCCGTTGATATCCAGCCTTCCTCCGTCGATATCTCCGCTTCTGCTGGGAGTAGAGAGTCGTCCATGTAGTCGAAAATGTAGGGTTTTGAAATGTAGGGTTTTGAAAGGACTTTAATTTGGTGCCAGAACCAGGCCTGTATCTCTAACCGTTTAGGAGATATCGAAGGTTAAAGTTTTCCAACCTTTCTGCGTTGATATCTCCGCTTCTACTGGGAGTAGAGAGTCGCAACTTACGGCAAAATGTAGGGTTTTGAGAGGACTTTAATTTGGTGCCAGAACCAGGCCTGTATCTCTAACCGTTTAGGAGATATCGAAGTTTAAAGTTTTCCAGCATTTCTCCGTTGATATCCAGCCTTCCTCCGTCGATATCTCCGCTTCTGCTGGGAGTAGAGAGTCGTCCATGTACTCGAAAATGTAGGGTTTTGAAATGTAGGGTTTTGAAAGGACTTTAATTTGGTGCCAGAACCAGGCCTGTATCTCTAACCGTTTAGGAGATATCGAAGGTTAAACTTTTCCAACCTTTCTGCGTTGATATTTCCGCTTCTACTGGGAGTAGAGAGTCGCCACTTACGGCAAAATGTAGGGTTTTGAGAGGACTTTAATTTGGTGCCAGAACCAGGCCTATATCTCTAACCGTTTAGGAGATATCGAAGTTTAAAATTTTCCAGCCTTTCTCCGTCGATATCCAGGCTTCCTCCGTCCATATCTCCGCTTCTGCTGGGAGTAGAGAGTCGTCCATGTAGTCGAAAATGTAGGATTTTGAAATGTAGGGTTTTGAAAGGACTTTAATTTGGTGCCAGAACCAGGCCTGTATCTCTAACCGTTTAGGAGATATCGAAGGTTAAAGTTTTCCAACCTTTCTGCGTTGATATCTCCGCTTCTACTGGGAGTAGAGAGTCGCCACTTACGGCAAAATGTAGGGTTTTGAGAGGACTTTAATTTGGTGCCAGAACCAGGCCTGTATCTCTAACCGTTTAGGAGATATCGAAGTTTAAAGTTTTCCAGCCATTCTCCGTCGATATCCAGCCTTCCTCCGTCGATATCTCCGCTTCTGCTGGGAGTAGAGAGTCGTCCATGTAGTCGAAAATGTAGGGTTTTGAAATGTAGGGTTTTGAAAGGACTTTAATTTGGTGCCAGAACCAGGCCTGTATCTCTAACCGTTTAGGAGATATCGAAGGTTAAAGTTTTCCAACCTTTCTGCGTTGATATCTCCGCTTCTACTGGGAGTAGAGAGTCGCCACTTACGGCAAAATGTAGGGTTTTGAGAGGACTTTAATTTGGTGCCAGAACCAGGCCTGTATCTCTAACCGTTTAGGAGATATCGAAGTTTAAAGTTTTCCAGCCTTTCTCCGTCGATATCCAGCCTTCCTCCGTCGATATCTCCGCTTCTGCTGGGAGTAGAGAGTCGTCCATGTAGTCGAAAATGTAGGGTTTTGAAGTGTAATGTTTTGAAAGGACTTTAATTTGGTGCCAGAACCAGGCCTGTATCTCTAACCGTTTAGGAGATATCGAAGGTTAAAGTTTTCCAACATTTCTCCGTTGATATCTCCGCTTCTACTGGGAGTGGAGTCGCGATTTACGGCAAAATGTAGGGTTTTGAGAGGACTTTAATTTGGTGCCAGAGCCAGTGCTGTATCTCTAACTGTTTAGGAGATATCGAAGGTTAAAGTTTTCCAGCCATTCTCCGTCGATATCCAGCCTTCCTCCGTCGATATCTCCGCTTCTACTGGGAGTAGAGAGTCGCCATTTACGGCAAAATGTAAGGTTTTGAGAGGAATTTAATTTTGTGCCAGAACCAGGCCTGAATCTCTAACCGTTTAGGAGATATCGGAGATTAAAATTTTTCAGCTTGTACCGTTAATATCTCCGCTTCTATTGTGAATTGAGTGTCGAGATTTAGGGCAAAAGCGTGTACCTGTTTTTTGAGTCGTTTATCAGATACCGAAGATTACATGTTTAAATTTAAATATAATTTTAGTTTAATTCTTTAATTTTAATGTTGATATCTTCGCTTTTACTTGGAGTTGGAAGTCGATGTTTATTGTGTGAATAGGGTTAATATAGGACTATATTGTGGCGAAAGCGCGTTCCTAGGTTTTGAGCCGTTTCCGCGAAGAAACTGATCGGAGGACGTTCGCAGCCGTGGTGGAATTTGACGTTCGCGTTCGCAAGGGCTTAGTATTTTACTCGCGAAGGGACGTCATCGTCCTTCTTTTCACAACGGTGTCGGATGTTTAGCTCCTTTCTTCCTAATTTTCTGCGACAACAAGACCGCGTCGGGGCCCTAACGGGGCATGTTCGCTTATAACTAGCGTTTATCTGAGGAGCGCTTCTCGGGAATATTCTGCTCGAAGGATTAGTCCGCGATAGAAAGTTTCCTGCGATCGGAGACCTCTTTAGTTTAAAGTTAAATTGTAGCAAGAGTATTGTTATCGGGCAGCTCTGATGCGGGCTGCTGGCATCAATCTGTGACGTCTACCGCGCGCTTTTGCGATTACCGGTAAATTCAGTGTTCTCGATTGCTCGCGCGATTTCAGGTGGCCATAATATGGGAATAATACGTGGCAATGTGTGGCAATAATATATAGCAGTAATATACGGCAACAATATATGGCAACAATATATCGCAACAATATATGGCAATAATATATAGCTATAATATATGGCAATAATTCATGGAATATATTTTTCGTTATAAATGTCAATGCAAATTTGCGGCATGCACAATATAATAATAAAAGAGCTCTCTGTAAGTATTGAGTCAAACGCTCACCAATGATGATGTTGGTAATGTCCCGTTGCCAATGTCCAACCAGGTCTACCAATGTTCTTCCATGTCCGCTACCGCTCTCCATGTCGCGCAGCATTCATCTTGCAGCGCGTCCCACGGTGATTGCTACACTTTCGCGACGCGGTCGATATTTGTATTAGAGCGGCGATATTTGCGTCAAATAACGAACGTTT